GAATGAGTTCTTATAAAAAATAATTTATTTAAACAGAGTGACAAAATTATATTATTGACAAAATTATCTAAAATAATATGAGCAACTACAATTAAACAGCAATGTGTTTATTCAGATTAAAACATTTTTCACACTTTCATACATAATCTACATTGCAATTCTTTAATTAACACGTCGGAATATTTCTAGTAATAATAATAGTAATAAATATAAATTAAAAAAAATNGAATGAGTTCTTATAAAAAATAATTTATTTAAACAGAGTGACAAAATTATATTATTGACAAAATTATCTAAAATAATATGAGCAACTACAATTAAACAGCAATGTGTTTATTCAGATTAAAACATTTTTCACACTTTCATACATAATCTACATTGCAATTCTTTAATTAACACGTCGGAATATTTCTAGTAATAATAATAGTAATAAATATAAATTAAAAAAAATTAATTTTGTAATTCAGTTGAATGTGAATCTCGAATAAGGGCCTATGTTATACATTTTGGTCAAAATTCAGTTAAAAGCATAATAATAGATCGCTTTAGTGTACACTAGTTGTAAATACTGCGTCAATAGCCGATTTTAAATAAAAAAGAAGGAAGCAGTTTGGGTGTTTGAAATTTATGGAAGAAGGGTTGAGAAGGGTCTATTTCGCGTCCATAGGTCTATGGTCGCGTCGCAGTCAGCCGCAGCGTTGTCGTAGGATCGAACGCAGCAGGACGTTTTGATGTGACGTGCGTTTCATTGCCCATTGTTGTCACTCGCCGTGCCGGAACGCAGTTCATTCTCCTTTATATCTATGTATATTTTGGTTTTGCAGCTATGAAATTGTTTACAATCACTGAATCATGCATATTATGATTATATTATATCACTTATTCTTTTCTTTCATTCTCTCTTTCTCTCTCTCTCTCTCTCTCTCTCTCTCTCTCTCTCTCTCTCTATCTTTGTCTTTTCGGTAAAAACCTATTGCTGACCTTAATCATTTTGTTTCATTGCAACAAGTATTTAAATAAAATTTATCACTGTCGTCACCAGTTGTTCTGTTGATTATTGCTTCAATAGAATATAATTTCATGTTGTTGGGGACTGTTTGGACGACTTATCAAACACTGTATAAATTGTATATGTAACTATAAGCCGTGTTATCCGAGAAAGTTGGACATGCAACATATGTATAAACCCTTATTCGAGATTCACATTTACTTATTGCCAAATGAACAGATTTTGTTTGGTATGCTATTTTTTCATATTTTATTTTCATCTTATCGTGCACTGTTATCACTTTGTAATAACGTGTTACTAAATCATATGTTGGAATATGCAATAATTAAAAAGATATAGTAGATTCTTACGCGTATGAAATTTATTTACTATTTGATTTAAATGAGTTAAATATATTATATACATATATTAAAATCTAGAATATAATAATCTGTA